TGTCCACTTCGCAGGGAACTTATGGTCTAATAGAACAAATGTCTGAAGTAATAAAAGATACATACAAAATGTGCAGAGTGGAACGAGGACTGGAATTGAGAACCACTACCTTAAAGTATAGATAGATAGATAGATAGATAGATAGACAGACAGACAGATAGATTAGAATTTTTTCCCCCTCAACCATCTTAATCTTGACTTGTTCTTGAGAAATTCCCAGCTAAATTGCATGAGACAGAGCAGGGTTAAAATTTTATATCACTACAGTGGATTTTAGTCATTTTGAGGAGTTGCATGCATGAAAGATGTGGGACCTTGAGCATTTCTTTTATGTTTTTAGTTTGCTGAAACGTTGTTAGTGACTTGCATGTATAATTATGTTGTCACATGCTGTATTATGTTGTCACATGAATATGCATATAATAGAAATGTAAATAATTAATAGAGAGTTGTTTTCCTGCAAATGGTTTGCATGTTGTAAGCCTACTTAAAGGAATAGTTCTCCCAAAAATAAGATTTGCTGAAAATTTAACCTCAGGCCATCTAAGATGAAGATGAGTTTGTTTCTTCATCAGAACAGATCTGGAGAAATTTAGCACGTGCTCACCAATGGATCATCTGCAGTGAATGGGTGCCATCAGCATAAGAGTCCAAACAACTGATAAAAATGTCACCATAATCGATAAGCAATCCACACAACTCCAGTCCATCAAATAATGTCTTCTGAAGTGAAAATCTGTGTGTTTGGAAGAAACAAATTCATCATTAAAATGTTTTCAACCTCAAAACATCGCTTCCAGCTAAACTACAAGTCTTCTATCCATAGTATTGCTTTCTCCAGTGAAAAAGTCTCATCTGTATCAGGAGAGAAATATGCACAGCTCAAGCACCATTTACAAGTGAAAACAGTCCGAAACATATACATATACATATGTGTATATTCAGAATGTGTGTATTTATTAAATATATTCTCAATTCAATTCTGAATGGCACAAAACCCTAGACTGAGATATTAATCCATGAAGCTATTCATGTTCTCACTGTCACAAAAATAAAGCTGTGTTTGCTCAGTGCCATTTGGCACAGCTGAAGCATTTTAACATTGAGCATTTATGATCATATAGGGACTTAGAGCTCATGCCACAATGGTTTAGCGCATTATTACATGTGCAATTTTGCAGTTCAGAGTAATTAGATGAGCCAGAATATAATGCCTTACCCCCATCTGCTCAACAACCTGATAACTTCAATGCTTAACTCATTTGTCTAAGAGTTGGAACTGAGGTTTACATATGTTTTCAAGAGCTATTAAATCGGTTACCAGCAACTTTCTGAACAACAATGACGTTTTATTGTTTGTAAATAAATTTGTGTTCCTTTTATTGACATTTGGATGAGAATTAGAAGGCTCTATAAGCCTGCAATGGAAGGCATGTTTAGAAAATCTTCAATTGTTGTGAGACAAGATATAAGGTTAAACTTTGATTGTGCTCAAATCTATTCAGCTGGTGGAGCGACTACACTAAAGTCTCAAGGCCTTGTTAGCTTTGAGAGATGAGCAGAGATTGTGTGAAACAAAAGTAGGGTCATCATTCATTACCAGCCCCTCAGTAGCTCTCATCCTGAAACGTCCCCTGCAGGCTGTGCCTTCAAACACCACGCGCCTTGTTTATTGAAAAAGGGACCAGTTTGAAACGACAAACCGAGAGGAACAAATAGCGAAGTGCAGAGATTAATCTTTACATCTGTGTGAGAGCACAAAACAAATTTCGCAATGACTTGATGGAGGGGAACACAAGGAACTGCATCTGTCAGTCATCAGTCCTGAGTACAGTGGAGTGATTCTCAGGATTAAATGTGCTATTACGAGTTATCGTGAATACCCAGACAGCTTCATTGCCTGTCTTTACGCTGTCTATTAGCTATAAATAAACGTAGTGTACATAGTTCATTGCCTCTCTTAGTGAATGTGCTTAATGAAATTTACCTTGGGTAGTGGTTTGTGAAATGTCACACGATAAGGAATAAGACATGCACATGTACGAGGTGAACATACTGTTTTTGTTCCTTATTTCAGTATCAGAGTTTAAAATAAGTAAAAAAAAAAAAAAAAAAGAGAGACTAAAACCAATAAAAGGAGTAACTTTGAGATCAAGTGAGACTGTCCATCCGTCCACCCTCTTTTTAAGTCCATCCATCCATCATATCAATCTATTGATCCATCTATACAGCCATATCTCTTTCCATAATTACATCTATCGCTCTTTCTAGCTTTCCATCCATCCATCTTTCTATATTTCCATCCATCCATCCACCCACCCTTTTTTTAAGTCCATCCATCCATTATATCAATCTATCAACCGATCCATCCATCCATGTCTCTTTCCATATATCCATCTATCCATCTGTCCATCTTCCTATGTATCTATCTGTTGTCTGTTTATCTGTTCGTCCATCCATACATCCATCCCTCTTTTTATCTATCCATCCATCCATCCATCCATCCATCATATCAAACTATCAATTGATTGATCCATCCATGTCTCATTCCATATATCTGTCCCTCTATCTCGCTATCCACCCATCCATCTTGATATATATATATATATATATATATATATATATATATACATCCATCCATCCATCCATCCATTTATCTATCTTTTAGACGAGCTTTAGATCACACAGAAATATGCAGTATGTTTATTTTCTCAAAAACTGCCCTTAATAAGACATTCCACAGCCATATCACTCCGCAGCCCAAGACTGGTTGCCCACTGAAGCTAAGCAGGGTTGAGCCTGGTCAGTACCTGGATGGGAGACCTCCTGGGAAAACTAGGTTGCTGCTGGAAGAGGTGTTAGTGAGGCCAGCAGGGGGTGCTCACCCTGTGGTCTGTGTGGGTCCTAATGCCCCAGTATAGTGACGGGGACACTATACTGTCAAAAAGCACCGTCTTTCGGATGAGATGTTAAACCGAGGTCCTGACTCTCTGTGGTCATTAAAAATCCCATGGCACCTCTCGTAAAGTGTAGGGGTGTAACCCCGGCCAGGTCCTGTCCAAATTCCCTCTACTGGCCCTTGTCAATCATGGCCTCCTAATAATCCCCATCCATTGAATTGGCTCTATCACTCTCTCTCCTCTCCACCTGTAGCTGGTGTGTGGTGAGCGCACTGGCGCCGTTGTGCTGTGGCTGCCGTCACATCATCCAGGTGGATGCTGCACACTGGTGGTGGAGGAGGAGATCCCCCTGACAATGTAAAGCGCTCTGAGTGCCCAGAAAAGCGCTATATAAATGTAAATGTAAGGAATTAATAATGTTTTCTAATTTGAGTGGTACGGGTAGGTTTTCGCGGGAAATTCATGC